CATACATACATACATACATACATACATCCAGTATATTCCTTTTGCCATGAAACCCCTAAAAAAGATCTGGTGCTGCCAATTACCTTCAGAAGTCACTGAATTAGTGAAATAAGGTCCACCTGTGTGCAATGATCTAACCGAGCACAATGAAGAACTTACTGAGAGAGAACCAACTCTCACTGACCAGGCAAGGAGGGCATTAATCAGAGAGGCAATGAAGAGACCAAAGACAACCCTGAAGGAGCTGGAAAGTGTCACAGCAGAGATGGAGTATCTGTCCATAGGACCACTTAACACTGTAACCTCCACAGAGCTGGGCCTGCAATGAAAAAGCCAGTGCCTGAAGAAAATAATAAATGTCTTTGGATGAATACATACGCACACACCACTTTTAATTCTTTCATTTCACTTTGTGTAGGTTCATTATGGAAAATCCAAATAAAAATCCAGTTTAATTCCAGGTTGTAATGCAACAAAATAGGAATACTTTGGTGGAATACTTTTTCAAGGCACCGTAAACATGTAAATAAAGCATAACCAAGAAAAAAAACAGCAAAACACTAATACATAATTTACTGAACTCAGACCATATGAGGCATTCGAGAGGAAACAAGTTTTGGTTAATCAGGCTTTTATTGAATAAGGCACATATGAATGGTGTTTTGATGACCTTTGAGTAAAAAGGGTACTTGAACTTTATAAAAGCAGAAAAACATTCTCATAGTCATATTTCAATGTCAGTATTAAAATAAGACGTTGTTAGGCATCACACAGTAGCTAGATTACCACACAGTTATACAATTGCACTGCATTACAACTGCAACAAAGTAAAACAGCTCAACAGGGAACGGTCCAACTGTAAAGTTAATAACAACAAACGATTTACGACAGCGTTGGACATGGAATGCACACATTTTGCTGTCAGAGATAGAGCATCTTGAAGACATGTCTAAATTAACATTTTGATGCAGTATCTTCAGACAGAAAAAACATGTTTCAAGGAGTCCCTTAAGAAAAGAAAATGCTTTGGTATTTCCATTGTTATGTGACAAATGTCATGGTTATTATAATGCTTTTTTTTTTTCATTGAAACTTGTATGGACTTTGAAAATGAATAAAATGAGATACATGTATAATGTACGTGAACAAGGTTACATTCCCAAGCAGGTCAATGTGAACTTCTAGATGAGCAGATGTTGCGGATTTCCAACGCAGAGAATCTGGACTGGACGGACTAATTGGAGATGACATTGTCACACGGCAGCAGAGAGCTGACCCCAACTCTCTTGGCACATTCGTTCTGCAGAAGAAAAATGCAAAAATGGAGTCGAGTTAGCTAAATGTCAAAGGCTTTTTCCTTAAAGCAATAGTTGGATTTTGGGAAAAGCGCTTGTTCCCTCACTGAGAGATGGTTGAAAAGATTGAGTCACTTCTGTTCGGTAAATTTAAAGCTACCATCAGCAGCCACTTAGCTTAGCTTAGCATAAGAATTGGAAGCAGGGGGAAAAAACCTAGCCTAGCACTGTCCAAAGTTAACAAGCTCCACATTGTAGTACCTCTACAGCTCACTTATTAAAAGGTATATCCCATTTGTAAAAAAAAAATTAGTTTAAAAAACGACTACTTGTAGAATACGGGGAGTTGTGTACCAGACTGTTGGTGCAACGACACGTAGTTACTTCTTGAAGTCTTGTTGTTACGGTGAGTTTGACAGACAAGGAAATGAATGTGACTGGCTAAGGAACAGTTCGGCACACAACCCCTCCAATATAACTACTTTTTTGTTTTCAATTAAAAGTATTAGAAACAAGATAACATGTAAGTTAGTGAGCTTTAGAAGAGCTGGGTGGATTTTGGTAACTTTGGACGGAGCAAGGCTAGCCATTTCTCCCGGTTTCCTGTCTTTATGCTAAGTTAAGCTAACTAACAGCTGGTTGTATAGCTTCATATTAAGGATTCAGATATGAGAGTAATATCAATCTTGTCATCAAACTCTCTGCAAGAAAGTGATCAAGCGTATTACCCCCCCAAAAAAATAGTTCTTTCAAAATATGAAAGAGAAGTGATAGATCACATCTGTTCCTGCATTTTGTTCATAATGACTGCTTGAGTTACGAGAGTGTCGCAGAGAATCTTCATTTAGACTAGTGAGAGAAAACATCAAAGTGTTTCAGATGACCACTTCATTTTGCAGCTCTTACCATGTGGTTGACAACATTGATGTGGTAGGGGATTCCACCCATTTCCTCACACTCCTTCATGTTCATCCTCTCTGGATCTCCAGCAGTCAAAACGGGAGCGCCGGAGTCAGCCTGAGACAAACAGCAGCAGCACCAATCAAATGAAGCCCAAAGCAATTAACAGGCTTTGTTTCATTTTCTTTTACAATAATAAGAATTAGCGGGTTGCAATCATTGGTCATCATCTACATGTTTTTTTCTCCTAATTAGTCTGTATTAACGTGGCAGCAGTAGGATCTACTCACAGGCTCCATCCCTCTATGGATGGACAGAAGGTCTGACATCCTGTCGCCGAATCCGGGAGCAAAGTTCTCTGGGTTAATCGCCACGAAACACTGACCCTGAAAATACAAAAACCAGTAATGACATCACTGTGAACTGACCCAATACAAACAGTGAAGAGAGCCACGATGCAACATAAAAGGGCTTGCGTCGGACTCATTGATTGTGCTTATCGTTTAGATAACAGTGGCTGTCAGAGACACATTTCAGCACGTCAAAACCCGGCTCCCAAAAAAATGTGATGTTGGCTGCTTTTGACTGAGAGTCAATCTTTTTAACAACTGTTTCTGTCCACCATCTCGTCAAGGATTTGATTTACTCAGCAGTATGGGAACTGCTCAGTCACAAGCTCCAACTCAAGGTGGTTTAGACACTTTGACTAGGGGAACAGAACACATCAAACCAGTGGGTTTTACACGAGTCACAAATAAATAAATAAATAGCTAACGTACCAGGTTTGCAACACGGTCTGTTACTTTCCACGTACGGATGTGGTTGCTGTACTGGGCACCAGCCAAGATACCACAGAACACTTCCACCATCATTCCAAGACCATAGCCTTTGTACCCTCCTGAGGACAACAACAACACAGACACACAAACTCCATTTATTTCATGTAGAGACAGGATAAATGCAACAAATGTTATCATATATGATACAAGCCCTCCTTTATGGTGCATCCTCCTACCCTGTTCAGGACTACTGTCACTATCATAATCTAAGAAAGTGTTGCTGCATGAAAGACTTCCTCCGTGAATCACATCTTTCAATCCCACATATTCCAAATGAGACCCAATGTGTCAAAAGTTAATAGTTAAACACCAAGTGCCATTTTTGCAGCACATAACAGACTTGTCAGTCAGAGCCTTGCTTGTATTAGAAAATGTACAATTCCTCCTTGATTGTTAAATTATACGCGAGAGTAGAAGAGGGAGGATTATTTCAACATCTGAATGTGAGAAAAATGTCTAAAATCTAACCGCAGACATAACAGTATAACTTTGATATTGTATTTTAAGGACAGTATGAAAAAATGCTCCCCGAGCAGACGTTTATCAGCTGGTTTCTGACCTGTGGCTTCACTTCCGCCAATGGGCACCAGTCCTCCTCCGCTCAGAACTTTCTTAGGGTCGGTGCTGAGCTTGCCCTGAGCGTCACAGCCCCAGCCCTCAGGGATGGTGTCTCCACGCCGGTCATGGAGCTCCACCTGTGCACATAAAACATTGAGACATAAATTAAATACATTTTGTATAACTCTAAGTGGTGTCTTAAATGCTTATTTGTTCAGTATAAACATAGTCTTACCTTTCCAAGTGCTACTGCTGATGTGGCCATATCCAGAACAAAGCTGTCTCCGTCTTTAGCCGGAGCTGCCACGCTGATGGGGTTGGTGCCCAAAGTGCACTACAAACAGCAGGTTGATGGTATTAGAGTGAGACAGAGAGGTTGTTTGTGGCATGAAGTACAGTGTATTCTGTAGAATAAATCATATTTTTTACCTCTTTACCGCGTGTGGGAACCACCAGTGGGGATGTGTTGGTAAATGACATACCCTGTAATAGTCAGATTATTATCAGACATACACATAACACCATTTGGGAACAAAAAATGTCCATTATTTAATAAAGGACATTTTGTTTACATTAAATTCATAAAAAGGCAGGTTAACCTTTCACTCACAATCATGTTCTCCTTCAGAGCTTGCATTGAGTAGTATCCGGCGATACCGAAATGGTTGGAACCTGAGACAGTAAACATGTATAGTCACTGTTTTATTTGTTGGGATTCGTTGACCACTTTAGTGAAGCACATTTTACAGCTAAAACTTATTTAATCAGTGCATTTTCCTCTCTAAAGTAAATTCTATTCATTCAAATCCAATGCAATTTGTAGTCATCAGACACTACAGTGGTTTTGGTTTCTTTTCTCTCGCATTTAATTGCCTGTTATATGAGCCAAACACGTAACGCATATTTATCACCCAACTGTTGTCAGCATGCTCGGACTCACCGTGTGCCACCACCCAGCCAATGCCCGCTTCTTTTGCCTTCTTCATGGCGAGTTTCATGCAGAAGTTTCCCACCACTGGACCCAGGAGGTTCTTCCCATCCACCAATGCTGTGGCTGCACTCTCCTTCTCCACCACCGGCTCACCGTCCTTGGCGCAGATTCCTGTCTCGACGTCCTTTACATACATATCTGGTAAAAAGTACAAAGACAGTAAGCACAAATGATTACCACTTTTAAATACAGGCACAAAAAAAAATCCAAATCAAGGGGTCGAAGGCTGGCCGAGAGATTATTTTTCATACGAAGACTTAAAATTCTATAGTACTTCATTAGTCTGACCAATCTTTGTCAAATACATTCCTGTTGGACATCATAGTGGATACAATGTAACTGATGAAATAAGACTGGGTCATCAAATGGATACAAAAATAGCATTTATGAAAACTGTACATATAAAGCCGAAGATATACTCGCTTTTATAATAGAAGCTCTGGACAGAATTCAGAGTAAATCTACGATTGTCTCCACGCGGCTCTCAACAAGGCGTCAATATGTGTGCGGAGTCAGAAATTGACGCAAACGCTTGGTTAAAAAGAAAGTATATCTCGGAATGTTTTCACTTGTGGGCTGCGGCTCCCGGATTTCAAACGGAACCAACATGCCCGCTCATTTTGAAACGTTTCTTCCCTTATACTACAAAAATAGTATTTCTGAAAATACTTGAGGTCAGAAATTGCTGAATCTGTCTTCATTTTCGATCAACAGTGGTTAATATAAAACTGTTTGGGGAGTTTCCAGAGGAAGCCAGTTCTGCTGGATGCCCCTGATATGCATAGAGTAGCCCAGCAACTTCACGCTAATGAGGAGCAGCCGTGTGCCGGTTTGTTTCTCAAAATGCAAAGCGGCGCTACCAGATTCCTTTGCACGGCCGCTTACATGAACAATGAATGGTAAGTGTGGAAATGACGGATCCTGTGGACACCGTCACACGTGTCACAGTTTACCATTAAATACATCTTTAAATCAAACATGCAGACAATAAACTTTCAGCGCCCCACTGACCCATCCTGTTGAGTCCATGGCTGAAGTGGCCCCTGTGGTCTCCCTCCACCAGCACCTCGGCCAGGCTGCGTGCATGATGCTGCTTGGTGCCCACGCTTGTCATACACCTCTCGATGAAGCCTTGCACCTCCGACTTGCTTATCAGACATCTGCAAAGAGGAAAAATTCATAATCAGATGATAAAATCCTTAAATATGGATTGTTTTTCAAGCAGTTACTCAGATTCTGGTGTTGACCGTGCACATGTTAAAATAAAAAGAATATTTTTAATGCTGGACTTTGCATTTTTATATTTGTATTGAGGAACATCAAAACTTGATGATAATGCTTGTTTTAAATTAATAGCGTTTGAGCCATAACTCAAAATAATGGAAGAGTTACATCATCTATAATGCGCCACATTTTATAGGATTTGACAGAATGCCAGACCGACACTATTTCAAAGTTTGAAGTCCATCATTGCAACAGTGATTGCACAACGTGTAACCACATAGATGATGTCGGTCATTACACTAAAGCTACGCTGTTATTACATTATGTTGTTACTGCACACAGAGTAGGCCCCTAGCAGAAACACTGACGGTAGAAATGCTGTAAACAAAACGGTTAACTCGCTGTTGACTTTACAAGGAAATTCTGAGCTGTGTGTTAATAAGATACAGCAGGACTTCATGTACCAGACGATGTTTTGGAAAAACATTCTCTCTCTCTTCAGAGTGTTACGCTATGAACAGTGGAGTCACTGTCTCTGTTTTAGTCTCAGTTTAAGTCACGTGCATGAAAACCCCTCAGGGAACTGCAATACTTAGGCAGTATGTTTAACAGAGTGAAAGATGTGTTGAATACTTTAGGGGGGGCACTGACTAAGACATGGTAATGACTCAAGTGGTCGGTGAAACTAAGAATATTCATTATCATGCCTTTAATTCTAAGATCAAACTTCTTGAAAAGGGTCAAATATGAATGTAGCTGTCACATGCTTGACTAAATAAAAAGCACATGGTCCCTCAATCAGCACCAGATTCAAAAGGTTCATCACCCCTGTGGCACAGTAAGAGTGTTAATCTTGTACAAAAAAATTGTACAAGATGGACATGGATTTGCAGATATTTAAAAAGTGAATGCCGAGTGCAGACCAGAATGACAAACTACAGATAATACCATTGTAGTGCTTATCTAATAGATTGTCACAGGGTAAAGTTCAGATGCTCTTTTCTGTGAGGGGTTAGGATGTCGTATGAGTAACCAGGACATTCCTTTACTTGTGTTCTCTGTAAATGTAATCCCAGTTAAGAGACAGCTTTAAGTAATATAATGATGTCTTCCAAACAAACTAGTTTACAGCTAAATGTTCCTCAGAAATTCTTTTCCAGATGTTACGACTCACTGTGGTGAAACATGTCTTCACCATCTTAAAGTCATGTTTTTATTGACAGACGACATAAGGATGAGGTCTCTGAGGGTTTTCTAGTGTGCGACGCTGAAAACGTTTTACTTCCTTACTTCTCCATTTTCCTTCCATTCTCTTCTCCTTCATTGTACTTTGGGGTATTCAGTCGTTAAAGAGAACGGGAAGTTTTGGAATGCTTGATAATGGAGTCCAGATTTGGGCTGTGGGAGAGCTGGATCGGCCAGTTCCTCTCCAAAGTAACAGTGTGTTCTGTACAAAAGGCTCTGCTCAAAAAAACAACAACTGATACAAGTCAACCTTTCTAGCATTATCATGTAATAAAGTCCACCTTACAGCACTTCTAAAGCTCACAAATCAACGCATCATCTTCTTTGTTTCATCTGTACACAAAATCAAAATGTAAAACCAAACATATGTTTGTTTTACTATTTCCATTTCTTGGCTGGGACCAGTAACCTCCTGGTGTCTCTGTTGGTCGCCTAGTTTTATGCTAAGATAAGCTAAGCGGCTGCGGGCTCCAGCTGCATATTTAACCATTCAAACCATTACTGGGCCTCTTCTCTGGCATTTACATAGGTAACAGCACTAACATCTGCAGGGAGGCTGGACTTTAGATGGGGATGGGGATGGGGGGGATGAAACACATAGCAGCCCTAACGGAGCCCATCCAAGTAGGGAGGAGGAACTTATGCAATGTCTTATGTAAGAAAGAAGTACAAACCCTTCATACAATTTCTGAGAAATGAGGAAGGAGTAACGGAAAAGGGAAAACTTTAACCAGGGCTGCATGATAGAAGTTTGACATCTTCCACACCAAAGAAAGACTGTCAGCATGTCCCAAGGTCACACTGAGGGCCACATAGTGTTTGTTTTGGTGCTATAAACAGTAAAAATAATGCCTGTGGCATTTCAAACATAGCTTAAAAAGTTGCCATTGTCTATGCAGTTACATATTTTAACTTAGAAGAAAGACAACCGCACATAATTCTCTGTGGACAATGTATGTAGCCTTTACTGGTTCATGTTACAAGTATACTGGGACATGCATGCGTCCAAGAAGGGGTCAACGCTCTCCTACAGGACAAACACATATAAAAATACAATGGAAGAAGATCCAGTAATTATTGATGCATTCATCAACTGCTCCAAAATCTTTAGAGACAGTGCACCATGAATCATGTCACCTCTAGGAGGAACAGAATTTGAGAATCCTCTTGAATGTGTGCAGAAGGATGTGTAACTTTATGCTTGTTGAGTGTTTATTTAACAATATGGAAAATAAACTAGACAGGTCTACAAGGGAAACCACTTGTCTACAGGCTGTGAAAAGTCTAGACACAAGCAGACTTGATCAACAGACTGTGCAGACTTACTGTGCTTAGAAATATCTGCATGACTCTGCTCTGATGAAGCCTTCAATTCAAAAACGCACATGAAGCAACTATAAAGCACATAACTACAAAGTCAAAAGTTGCTCGTTGAAAGTTAAAAGTCTGCACATGAAACAGAACAAATAAAACGTCCCTTTTTAATCAGATTAGGAGCACACAGAAAAACAGTTTAGCAAAAAGCATGCTTCTCTGTTGACACAGACAGGAGGAGTTCATGAACAGAAAGTGCTCCAAAATATGGGTCAAACAATGCACACAACTGTTCAAGGGAACTGTGCTAACTTATTGTTCGTTTGACTTTGTAAAGGTCATTGCCGACGACCAAAAGTTAGGAAAAAAACAGCTGCAATGATAACATACTTGATAACAAGTGTGCATTCAAAAATGTACTCAAGTAAAAGTACAGATAAAGTAAAAGTACTCTTAATGCAGAGAGTATGTGAAAGTAATACTAAATGTGTTAATTAAAGCCCTTTCTTGAAGTCTACTTTGTTACGTTCCACTTCTGCAAGTCCATGAGTCGTGACATTCAGACCATCAGTTATAGTTTGTTCCTGTCAACAGCCGGTCATGTCATGCGGCACAATTTGTCCTCACCTGGTCATGTTGACGGTCCTGCTTTGCGCTGCAGCTTCAGGTCGATACTTGTCGCTACTGGTGCTGGTTGCTGGTGATCTGCTGGTGTCGATGATCAACGGAGACAACGGCCAACTTCCTCTTCAAACAGTACACAGTTAGGAAACGCCCAGCATTTCTGAAAGCTGGTAAATCTATCATATGTCTGTGGGCGGTGTTGGAGGAGAGGCGTATCGGGGGGAGTTTCTCTGTAACGCCATCACACAGGCCTGTTCTGGCGTTTGAGGCGAGGTCGTGCGTTATGTAAATTGCGCATTTTGTCACATACGTGTTTGAAGCGCACATGTTTGCCCCCTGACAAAAATAACACCGTAAATATTTACACAAGGACGCCTACTGTACATTATCAAGAGGCAACCCTGCTTATTTATTTTCTATTAAACCACTAGGAAATCTCTACTTCCTACTTAATCTTTTGGACGAAGTGCAACTGCATTGATTAGACATTTCTAGATCATTCTTTGTACATCATTGAAACTAATAAGGATTTACCAAAATAATGAGAATGAAAGCTCCCTCTCAAACATTACCAAAAAATAAGTCATGTAGGGCAATTTATTATCCTGCACAATACCTGCATCATACCTACAGGCCTTCTTCTCAGGAGAAATATGTGACTTTTCATAAACATAAGGGCTTTTTGTAAATGCATGACTGCAGGATATGCAAGAACAAAACATAATACAACTCTCCTTCTGTCTCTATTTGTAGTAGATTCAGCCAATGATACAGTCTGTTGGAGAAGCAGCAAAAGTCTCTGGTGCTTGTTGTAATGGGAGCACGGCTTTAGGCTAAGGTGTAGTCAGGTATGTAAGAGGACAGAGGGCAGAGGACAGAGGAATCAAGTCTGAAACCGAACACCAACATAGACACGTATCCACAAAGAGTTACCTTTCAGGTATTTATGCTTTTGTTTCTTTTGTTTTGCTTTTGTTTACAATTAGCATTTCCCCCTACTTTATTTTCTTACTTATTTTCTAAACTCTGCTGCCTGGCCACTTACAGAAAACTAATGACAGATCAGTAGTGGAATAAGTGCTGAGATCTTTTACTTAAGTAGAAGTAGCAATATACAGTAGAAATACATAAACTTACTGTAAGATTCCTGCATTTAACAGGTCAAGCATTAACATATACTGAAAGTACCAAAAGTAAAAGTTGGCTACTCATCATAGTAGTGGAGTGAAAGTATGAAGTAAAGTAATAAAGTAACCTCAAAATTGTACTCAAGTAAAGTAATTGAGAAAATGTACTTTGTTACTTTGCACCGCTGGTGCAGACTGCGTCTGATCTCTTCACAACTGGTCTTCCATCGATGTCTTTCTCCCACACAGGCTTACCAGTAACAGTATCCTTGGTTATGTAACCTCACATATTCTCAACAGAGAAGCGCTGGCACTTGATTGTGCTTTGGAATTCTGATAAGAACATTTTTTTGGCTATTTACACTGTTTTTAAGATGCTGCCAACATGATACATAACTGATTTTGAAATGTATGTATTCATTTGTATTAAAACATGGTCCTTAAGAGTAGATGTTCTTTAAAGTGTGTTGCTGAAGAACACTGTTGGTGCCTTTCTTTCCAGCAGGCCACAAAGAGTCAGACACTCGCCGAACTTGGAAGTGTATCAATTCAGTTGTATTAGATGTACACGTAAACATGCTGTGCAGACACATTTTCTCCACATGGAAGGAAGGAGATAGTACAAACATAATAAATCGCAGGCTTTAGTCTTGTGCAAGATCTCACTTGGCAGCAAAGTAGTGGCAGTGGAGCATGTTGGTTTGTTTTTCCTGAGTGTTTTTGATAATGTTTCCCTTGAACTTAACTTGCCCTTGGAACAGGGACACTGGGAACCTAACCTGGGAAACCAGTTTAACTACTATGCTACGCACCCATTATCAGAAGATATCAAGTTTCACTTATTTTAATTAAAAGGCATCGAACTATAAAGCAAGGAATTTCAGTCAGTATGTGTCTTTCTGTCTGTATGTGGGTGTGTCCTTGCAAATCTCAACAACCGTTCATCTGATGATATGTATTTTCCCGTTGTTTTCACAACATGTGAGCAACACTGTATTTCACCTGGCTTGATACTTATAACACCAACAACGTCACCGCCAGTAAAGTCCTTCCGCCAATTCAAAATGCAGCCTTAAGTTCCTATTTTGATCCCAGGTTGTTGAGCCAAAAGATGATTGGCCTCCGTTTATGTGGCATTTGAATGGCTACCCCCTATCTGATATGAATGATATAAAACTACTGGGATCATGACTCATCCACTGTTGTAATTATCAGCATATCTAAACAGCAACTGTTTAAACAAAGGCCTTCAAGCAAACTTTGATCCTATTGTGAGGAAAGATTAAAATGTCTTTGATTGTGTGTGTGTGTGTCTGTGTGTGTCTGTGTGTGTGTGTGTGTGCGCAGTATATTTAAGTGGACAAACTCCTAAATACATGTGTTTACATGTGCAGGTCTGTATTTTTTCAACTGGCTGTTCTGACCAGATTGCCATTAAATTAGCTTTGTAGTTTTTGGATCCTCGGAGTATAAATTCATCCTTTGCTGTAATGCCACATTTAGGTCAACATTTACTTTTTTTTCATAGGAAATGTCAAAGTCTAACATGTTTAGATGTTTATGGAATGAACTGAGCACATTAACAAACCCTCCGGACACTCAATGAGCTCTCCTATTGCACCATCTTGTGGGCAGTGTCAGCTTTGCACACAGAGACAGTGCCATGATCTAAGAGGCGTTACTGGTGAGGCTCAAAGAAAGTCAGCAGTCTGTTCCGTTCAACACTGTGCTGTGTGGTGCAGCCTCCAGGGGGCTTTTGTGCTTATGCTTTGGCTTCGGGCTGGTTATCATTGTGTTGATTGTGGTTTTTTGGAATGTTTAAAAATGTGGTTAGAAATGTGCTTTTCACTGGTTTCAGTAGTATTATACTAATAACAACCAAGTGTCAGAAAGATAGAAAAGGTTGTTTTAGTGTTTGAGATTAAATCAATTAGGATTGAGACACAAGATTTGGTTATTGTAAAACAGCATGCAGCATTTAGGAGGATCTTTTGGCAGAAATTGAATATATTATTTTTATTTGTAGTGTAAAGTCAACTGGAATTAAGAATCATTGTGTTTTCGTTAGCGTAGAATGAGTAGTGAATAAGGCCATTAGCGTTTTCACGTCGACCGCTTTAGTTGTCCTACTACATGCTTGGCACTCGGGAGAAGCTGCAGTTGGTTGCAATCTGCAACCTCACCGCTAGATGCCGCCAGATCCTACACACTGCACCTTTTTAAAGGATTTTTTAATTTTTTAAATATTTTAGTTCAAATTTCATTAAATTATACATTAATACCCCAATCCCTGCAAATTTGTGTTGTTTATTCATCATTAATGCTATAAACGTTGTGCTTCATTTGACCAAAAGGGAGCTAACTGCCTAATCCATTTGATAAAACTCCTTTTCCTGATTAAGTTTAGGTTAGGGTAAAAGTTAGACATGTTTTAGTTCAGGATGGAAGGTTTGTTGAACCTGATTTGTGTCAAATCAAGTGTAAGTGTTCTTTCTGCATGTCTTCCTCCTGCTTCACCAGGCCTGGAGCGAACAGCTCACAAAAACAGCAGCGAGAAGTTAGCGCCCCCTCCCTCTGCAGTGCCAGCTCCTAGTCTGTAATTCTCCACGGTTTAGACATCTGTAGGCATTTATCTCCAACCACAGGAGGAAAATAGTAAGTTGGAAGCTAGAGGCTGTGATTTGGGTGCGTATATATAAAGTTGCGAGCAAAGGAGAGGCTACTAATATGATGGGAGGTCTGGAGGAGCGGGACACCCAAGTCATCAAAGACGAGGGGCGAGGAGCAGGAGGATTCATGGAGCAGCAGATTTAGTCTCTGCATTGCTCAATGGCATCTCAGAATGTGTATTTCACATGAAAGTAAAATTCATCCTCTGCAATCACATCTTTCTTGATTTGCATGCCCGCCCACCTTTCTAATCGTGTTCCACTCCTAAATTTAATAATAGAAATAAAAGCAATTCCGTTCAATGCATCGTTAAATCAAATTACATTTTTTTGTATTGCATTCTATTTGTTCTGTGGTTTTGCAGTACAGCATACATGTGTGATGATGAAGCTAAAGGTTTCCTGTGGCACTAACCATCCAGCAGACGGCTAACATAAAATGCCAAGTCTTTCCCAAAACGTGTGCCATTTCATCTGCAATAATTCCTCAGACTGAGAGCAGGTTGAAATGATCTCGTCCCGCTGCAGGCCCCCACATTGCTGCTGACGCCTCTGTAGTGGTCAGCCTGGGCGGCCCTGCCTTACAAACGAGGGCACACTTAAAACAGTTTCCTAAAACGGGATGTTCTGTATATAGTTGGTACAGCAGCAGGCTCACAGCTGGGATGGAGAAAAAAAACTTGCCTTGCCCGATCCCTCAGACCCGCCCCAGAATCAAACCTAAGCCTGAAATTATTTATTATGATTGAGTGAAGGTGAAGCTGAAACTGAAGGAAATGAATGTCTTCATCCTCGTGCTCATTAGCTGAGGATGGATCTGAAAAAGAACAAGTCCTTGAAATTGTTCGTAGATATTTTGATAAATGAAGTAAAAGCATCATGTGAAAGAGAAAAATTCAATGCAATACTTAACAGTATCTGGTTTAATTAGCTCACTCACAAATGGTCAGCAATAAGTTGATGTAAAATTAGAACACTTAACGCAATAAAATACTACTAGAAATACATGAATAATGACCAAAAACAGATGTATGTTGTCACAAAATGTAAAAAGTGGCTGAAAGAAGACAAATAAGCGGCGATAGGAGGTGAAGGTTAATTATCATTTGTCATCATCGTGACATTCAGACGTTGGCTCCACAGTCCTCTGTTCTCTCTGCTCTTTCTATCCGGACTATCCGGAGATAATTTCAGCTGTCATCAAAATTTCCATTCAACATAAATACAATAAATAACAACGAAATGACCCAGAGAAGCTGCTTGCTCAATCTCTGAGCCGTTCACTCTGTTTGTTCCCCTCTTTTCCATTTCAGGCTGTTCACAGTCTTTGATCAACACATTTCTACTGACCGTGTCAGGGCGACTGGCTGGTGTAAACTCAATTCCCTTTAATACTGATATTACAATTAGGAATGCCCCAATATTGATATCCAACAGCTCTCACGAATAAAAATTCTGATATGTGTTGGCCCACTAGTATCAAACAGTGTGTTGCTGTTACTGAACAACATTAACTTTTATAATTAGTTTTAGATCAATGGTCCGAAAGTATTATGTTGTATACATTTCTTTATATGCGTAACTCTGAGACACTAATTGAATGTCCTGTTTTAGTCTTTTATTGGCCAGAATGTTTGATACCAGGATTAGTACTGGTGCATCCCAAAGACGACATTCTTCTAATACACAAACCAAGTCTTGCTTTTCTTTCTCACCACTTAGGATTATGTTAGTGCTGAGCAGATTTCAGCTCAGATAGATTTCCTTTATCGCTTGACTTAGATTGGCTAAAAACATTTAGGAGCGATTATGTCAGCCCTCATCTTCTGAATCCCTCGCCCAAGTAATTATGAATGGGTTGACTTTGAGACCCATTTATTTTTTTTTTTTTTTCCCCCCCCCCCCCTCCTTTGCCTCCATCTACCAGCTGAACAGCTTCATAAAGTTTTGGAAGCCGTCCTCTCCGAAGAAGTCGAAGGAGCCCTCGGAAGTGCCCAGGTGGATGAGCAGGAGGACGAGCAGGACAACGGCCAGAAGTGGAATCAGCAGGTTCCAGCCGGCTGCCAAGATGTTGTACCACTTGGCCTTGTCTGAACACTCCTGGGCCAGCTGCAGGTTGCCCTGAGTCTTCTGGTCCCTGGCCTACATAGACACACACACACACACACACACACACACACACACACACACACACACAC